GAATCCTTCACAAACTGGACTTTGTGAAGGCAGAATCCTTCACAAACTTGACTTTGTGAAGAATTTTGCCTTCACAAACTGGACTTTGTGAAGGCAGAATCTTCACAAACTTGACTTTGTGAAGGCAGAATTCTTCACAAACTTGACTTTGTGAAGGCAGAATCCTTCACAAACTGGACTTTGTGAAGGCAGAATCCTTCACAAACTTGACTTTGTGAAGGCAGAATCCTTCACAAACTTGACTTTGTGAAGGCAGAATTCTTCACAAACTGGACTTTGTGAAGGCAGAATTCTTCACCAACTGACTTGTGAAGGCAGAATCCTTCACTGACTTTGTGAAGGCAAAATCCTCACAAACTTGACTTTGTGAAGGCAGAATCCTTCACAAACTTGACTTTGTGAAGGCAGATTCTTCACAAACTTGACTTTGTGAAGGCAGAATTCTTCACAAACTTGACTTTTTGAAGGCAGAATTCTTCACAAACTTGACTTTGTGAAGGCAGAATCCTTCACAAACTTGACTTTGTGAAGGCAGAATCCTTCACAAACTTGACTTTGTGAAGGCAAATTCTTCACAAACTGGACGTTGTGAAGGCAGAATTCTTCACAAACTTGACTTTGTGAAGGCAGATTTCTTCACAAACTGGACTTTGTGAAGGCAGTATTCTTCACAAACTTGACTTTGTGAGGCGAATCTTCACAAACTGGACTTTGTGAAGGCAGAATCCTTCACAAACTGGACTTTGTGAAGGCAGAATTTCTTCACAAACTGGACTTTGTGAAGGCAGATTCTTCACAAACTGGACTTTGTGAAGGCAGAATTCTTCACAAACTTGACTTTGTGAAGGCAGAATTCTTCACAAACTGACTTTGTGAAGGCAGAATCTTCACAAACTTGACTTTGTGAAGGCAGAATTCTTCACAAACTTGACTTTGTGAAGGCAGATTTCTTCACAAACTGGACTTTGTGAAGGCAGAATTCTTCACAAACTTGACAAATTTCTTTGACTTTGTGAAGGCAGATTTCTTCACAAACTGGACTTTGTGAAGGCAGTATTCTTCACAAACTTGACTTTGTGAAGGCAGAATCCTTCACAAACTGGACTTTGTGAAGGCAGAATCCTTCACAAACTGGACTTTGTGAAGGCAGAATCCTTCACAAACTAGACTTTGTGAAGGCAGAATTCTTCACAAACTTGACTTTGTGAAGGCAGAATTCTTCACAAACTTGACTTTGTGAAGGCAGACTCCTTCACAAACTTGACTTTGTGAAGGCAGAATCCTTCACAAACTTGACTTTGTGAAGGCAGAATTCTTCACAAACTGGACTTTGTGAAGGCAGAATTCTTCACAAACTTAACTTTGTGAAGGCAGAATCCTTCACAAACTTGACTTTGTGAAGGCAGAATCCTTCACAAACTGGACTTTGTGAAGGCAGAATTCTTCACAAACTTGACTTTGTGAAGGCAGAATTCTTTACACACTTGACTTTGTGAAGGCAGAATTCTTCACAAACTTGACTTTGTGAAGGCAGAATTCTTCACAAACTTGACTTTGTGAAGGCAGAATCCTTCACAAACTGGACTTTGTGAAGGCAGAATCCTTCACAAACTTGACTTTTTGAAGAATTTTGCCTTCACAAACTTGACTTTGTGAAGGCAGAATCCTTCACAAACTGGACTTTGTGAAGGCAGAATTCTTCACAAACTTGACTTTGTGAAGGCAGAATCCTTCACAAACTGGACTTTGTGAAGGCAGAATTCTTCACAAACTTGACTTTGTGAAGGCAGAATCCTTCACAAACTTGACTTTGTGAAGGCAGGATCCTTGACACACTGGACTTTGTGAAGGCAGAATGTCTTCATCACTTGGCCATGTTCTATGACATCGTTGCAAATGCAGACTTTTTCATGACAGAGGATCAGTCTGATGCAGCTCTGCATGCCATGCAGAGATGCTTGCAGCATTATGTTTGGCTGCAAGCTCATGTCGCACAGGACTGCTTGTTCCAGCTGGTACCCAAATTTCATTGGGCATACCATCTAGCTCAGATGTGCAAATACCAGAATCCCAAGACTTTCTGGACATACAGGCAAGAATCTTGGGTAGGCAGCATGGCAACAGTGACTCATTCTTGCAGCCATGGAACCAAAAACACAAAGCTGTCAGAGAGCTTTTGTGAAAAGTATTTGCTAGGCCTTCAGCTCAGGCTCAACCAAATGGATGGCTTGAGATAAAGCCAATGCCATGACCTTGTGCCAGCCAGGTGCTTGAAACAAAGCCAAGCAAGATATGTGGCTTGAAAAAAGGCCATGCACATGGCCAAAGGCAAGCTGGAGGCCTGCAAAAAGGCCATGCTTTGATACATATATCACATCTCCTCTGTGTCACCAGTGCTTGCATTATGAGCAAAAAGATGTGCGCCTTCCTGCAGCAACAACTATATGATTATTAAATTTCTATATGGCAAAAATTTCAATAATGTATATGGCAAAATTTTCAATAATTATTGAAAAAAGTCAATAATTATTGAAAAGAAAATCAATAATTATTGATTGTTTTTCAATCTCCAATAATTATTGAAAATTTTCAATATCCATTTCAATAATTATTGAAACCTATATTGAAAAAAATATTGAAAAAATGCATTTCAATCCGGATTGAAAAAAATTCAATCTTATTGAGATTTTCAATAAGATTGAAAAAATTCAATCCCTGGACCCTCAGGGAATGGCTGTGGGGATGGCCTGCAACATCATCGAGGACACCCGTTGCCGAAGTCGGTCAAATCCCTTGGGGAGCTCCTCATCCGCAGGCGCCTTGATGTAGAGACGCTGCAAAGGTGGTGCCTGAAGCCATTCTCTGTAGCGCTTCATCGTGAGCTCCACCACCTGCTTCCACCAAATTCCAGCTCTCGCTGATACATCTCCGATCAGCGGCTCCAGCTGCGTAAGCCAATCACCGGCCAACAGCGCAGCATTCTTCGTCCCTGGATCTGCCAAAACCGGCAGAGTGATTGGAATGGACCTCATCTCCTCCTGGAAGTCCATCACTGGCATTGGTGATTGCCACATCTTGAACCTGCACTCCAAGACTCGCAATCCTTTGGGGGTCTCACAGCCTCCTCGGGGGTCTCAGCCTTGGTGGTCTCAGCCTCCTTATAGGGGGTCTCAGCCTCCTTGAAGGGGGTCTCAGCCTCCTTGAAGGGGGTCTCAGCTTCCTTGGGGGTCTCAGCCTCTTTGGGGGTCTCAGCCTTGGGGGTCTCAGCCTTACCGCCTACCCTTTTGTTTCCAAGACGTGCCGATTCCATGTCCCTATACTGTTGAACAAACGGCTCTCCCCAGTATACCTTAGGCCAAACTTTTCTTGGAATTCCCTCCAAAACTTCTTGAAACTTTCTCTCCTCTTCGACATCTATGTAACCTCTACTTCGTTGAGCGCCAGACAGAGCTCCTTCACGTTGAAGCCATGCCATCTCATCCGGAGTCAATTCCCACCCCAGATCTTCACGACGCTCTCCTCCTCGAAGATGCCCTTGTCGAAGAAGACGATCCACCTCGGACATGCTATCGTCCCGTGCAGCCCGATGTCCTTCTTGTTGAACACCATGCATCTGAGCCCGATGCCCTTCTCGATGTTCAGCACCTTGAAGATCTCCCTGACGAAGTTCTCGACCATCTTGATGGAAATGCATGTCCCCCATGCATCAAAGCCCGATGCCGTTCAAGGTGTTCACCGTGCTCTAAAGCCCGATGCCCTCGTTCGTTGGAGTCCACCACGCATGCCATGCAAAGCCCGATCGTCAAGACATTCTCCATCACCTAGATCTTGACCTGGACGTTCGGAGACACGCTTCACCTGTCCCTCATGACGTCCCATCCAATCCTTGGCATCAAACGCACCAAGTGATTCCGGCCACCTTGGAATTTGACCTATCCAAGCTGGTTCACAACCAGGGGGTGGTCCCGCTGGTACTTCAGTCCATTTCAGTCCCATTTGGGGTATACCTTTTTGAAGGTGACATAGGGGTCATCATTGGTGGTGTCCTCTCCGGCGTTTTGGGTGGTGGATCCGAGGGCGGCTGCGGCGTCACTTCAGACCAGGAGTCCACACTCGTTCCCGACCTGCGCAACCTCCTCAGTTCTTCTCTAAGCTTTTCGTTCTCATCTTTCAAAGTGTCCACCATTTCCCTTTCCAACAGCCTTTCTAGCGACACCTCATCTTCTCTACGCCCTACATCTCCTCCAACACCTTTACCTCTCTTTGTGCTATTCTTTGGTTCACCCTCACTGCTACTGCTCCTAATATATATATATAATATATATTTAATATATATATAATATATATATATATATTATATTATATATATAATATATTATATTATATATATATGCTACATGTTGATATGATGATACGCATATTGAATTTCCTACTTGCCATGGGTATATTTATAACCTGTTTCTGCAAACGAACAAACAATGCATCACCACCCCTACTATGCTATTCTATATGAACTTTCCAGAACCAGATGAAATATACAATAGGTAACAATGCAAAAGAGACAAAACAATATAAACAGTATAGAAAAATCTAAGAACAAAACTACAATTAGAAAAAACATTTTTTCAAAAACACATCACAAAACAATGTAAAAATGCGGCCCTGGTGGCGTCCCTCTCTCTTTACTTTAAACCACTTTTTAAGACCTCTTGCAGCAACCGTTACTGAAACTGAAACATACCAATTATGCTGGACTACAGGGACATCTCCCTCATGGAGAGTGTGCCTCTACTGTGACATGTCCCGCCAGTGCTGAACAGAAGGGGCGCACTTTCCTCTCCCACTACACTACCTTTCATCCACCTCTGCTTGCTCTCAAGTGCTAGAGTTCCTAGAGGGATGCCTGATCTGGCCCTCAACATTGCACGCCAGTTCTTACAACCTGTACCTAAAGAATCCTAAAGAGTCAGAGCTCCTGAAACATCCGCATGCGGCTGGAGGCGACGAGGTTTTGAATAGCCTGGTGGCTGGCTTGGGGCATCCGAGTCAAAAGGTTCGATCACTCTGTGAAGATGTGTCTTGACTCAGGGTCCGATCCACTGCCCGGTTGCTTTCAAACTCAGTGGTGTTTTTGCATGTTTCTGCCATCAGGATGTTTGAGCTGAGGTTTTTCTGCAAGTTGTGCGTCCTGATGATCCAAGAGCTTCCAAAGTTCTCATCCGCAGCATAGAGCAGGAAATCGCAGCCGTGCTGCAGGATGATGCAGACTTGACAGCGCATTTTTGGACGAGGTGATTTCAAAATGTTTCTAGTATAATGTAAAGTGGAATTTTTGGAGCACCAAGCTAAGGTAACTTCAACGAGGTGTTTGCAGATTAAACTTCTTGGTGATGTAGCCCCTCGAGATCAGACGGAGGCTGACCTGCTAATTCCTCATGCTGGTTGCATGCTGTTGGGTGGTTAGTAGGCCCACTGAATTACCAAATCGATCCAGGTTGTTGAGGCGCCTCCTGCCGCAATCGGAACACAGACTTGAGTTCAAAAAACATCAAACAACCAGTTCCGCCATGTTCCGCCATGTTCCGCCATGTTCCGCCATGTTCCGCCCCACACCATCACACACCATAAGGGTGGAGAGCATGGCTGATTTAGCCATCAGGTGGTTGACTTGCTCCTTCGACTTGCAGATGAAAACGATGTTTGCATTCGCTCGACTGCATTGGCCCAGCTTTGGGCATGTGCAAGCTGTGAGCAATGCTTGGGCCCTCTCAGAAACTTTTGCATCAGAAGTTATCCAAGATTTCAAGTACTTTGCAATGATATGCGATGATACGATTTCAGGAGTTACTCCTACTATCTCCTACTTGCTTTTCTAGTCCTTGTGTTCGGGAGCCCTCGTCACCCCTTTGTCACCCGTTAGCCGCATTGCGCTCCTATCACATATGAAGTGTAGGCTTATACAAGACAGATGATATGTAGGTTATAATTTATAAGATATATCTATATATATATATAATTATATATATATAGAATCTAGATGCTATAAGATGTTTTACGCATTTTTTCCACTTACGCCGGCGCAAGTCAGGAGCACATTTGATGGAAAAGGACGAGCAGGTCCGTCTTGCTTGCCTCGGTTCCATCCTAAAACTCGAGGACCGTCACGATACTTGATACAGAAGATACACTTCCAGAAGTTGCATGAAATTGATTCAGCTTCAATGAAATCTAGTACCCCAAGGGCGCGAAATATATGAACATATTTATAGACTATTGTAATTATAAATAATATCAGGTCAAAGATTATGAAACCACGCTGTTAGCAGTCTGTTCAGATGCTGAGATTCAGACGAACAAAGACTTGAGAGTTCCACCAATTCAATGAAGCTGTCAACAGGAAGATCTTGGAGCACTGCAAGAGCTATGCTTGCAAAGCTTGAAGGATGGTGCATCCAGCGTAGTTTTACTTGCCTTAACAACCTTGGATGATAGATGTGACACACTCGACGCTTAGCTTGATTTGGATGTTACCCAGCTTTAAGATGCTTTATATTATATGAATAATTTTTGACACGTATGAAGTTGGATCAAAAAGACAGAGTCTTGGTAGCGTTCATCGGCAGTGACAGAATTGAGGAGAAGGAGGATGAGTGCTGCCATGGCTTGGGTCCGTTTTTATGCCATGGTGATGCTCAAGTCCGGCAAGCAGCTCGCCAGCATTCGCCAGCCATGCTTGACCCGGGGCACTGCCAGAGAAAAATCATTGAACATCACATGATATTCACTTGAAATGCTCGTAATGCTCGAACAGTTGATTTTTTCCCACATTGACGTGTGGGGTTTTTGTTCCCCACATTGACGTGTGTTTTTTTGCTTTTAGTTCTGTATCCGCCTCCTCCTCCTCCTCCTCGCCCGTCCTCCTCCTCACTCACATCACTCACATCACTCACATCACACACACACACATTCACTCCCGGAGTGCGTGGAGTGCGTGGAGTGCGTGGAGTGCGCGGAGTGCGCGCAGTGCGTGGAGTGCGTGGAGTGCGTGCGTGTCTCACTCAGTCACTCACTCACTCACTCACTCACTCACTCACTCACTCACGCACACACGCACACATGCACACACGCACTAGACAAGAATGGATCATTATATGATCCGGCAGGAACTGAATCCTGAAACATGCAAACCAGCCTAGATCGTTAGATTAATGAAGGAGCCACATGAGGTACTTCTCGAAAACGATGTAGGGCATCCAATATTGTCAAACGTAGTCTTAACCAGAGTCCATAGAGTTTTGACCAGCATGTTGAAAATCCAAAATAATGTTTCGGCGATGATTTCCCAAAAAGACCCAAAATTCATCGGCGACATGATCTCGGCGAAAATGTGTCAGAAATCATAATACTGTCGGCGATATAGTTTCGGCGAAAATCTGAGGAAGGTTCTGATGCATGTAAATCTCAACATTGATTCCAGATTGCGACAACAGTGCAGCAACAAGACAGCTTGTTCAACAGTTCAACTTGATTTCTGCAGGTACACAGTTGGACGTCTCCAACTGCTTCCCATGACATCACTAGCTTCGTTGGCCAGCGTCGTGATGCCATGCGCTGGCCCCCTGCAAATATAAAAAGATTCCCTGCAAATGTAAAACGGTTAGAGTCAAAGAAGTTTTACATCTGTTCAGATGTTACACACACACACCCCGCATGTAGCGGGGTTTGATTTTTTGGAAGACCCTCGCAGCAAATGTCGGCAAGATTCAAATACAAAAGGCTTTTCCGGTGCTAATGTACACAGCCGCGTTCAGTCACTCAGCAGGGAAATTGTCTTCAAGTTGAAGTATTTGGATCGCCTCACGGAAGCTCCTGCCTTCAACCATTCTCCACGTTTCGTTGATTTCCCCAGATGCCATAGCAGCCGTCAAAGTGGTTGAAAGTTGTTTGGCCAGGTCCTGGATCTTCGGGATGAGGCGGGTTGCCTCCGTAGGTGCAGCGGTCTCAATGGGAACATTGTGAAAAGGATGATGCCCATGAACTAGAGGAATCTCAAAGTGATGTCGCCAATAATCCGCTGTGCGCAGGGACCACTCCCAGTTGCCCGAAAGACCATAAAAGTAGTGCTCGGGGTCACAGTGCCCCGACATGGGAATCTCTTCGATGAATAACTCCCTGGTATTGTTGGAGTGGGTAATGATCTTGAATTGGATCTGGTGGACCACTCGGGATGAGAAGGAAGCACGATGTAAGTAGTGATATGCAAGACTTGGCTCCGTCGGAAAAGGGACATCAGGAGGTGCGAGGCCTGAATATGTATCAGAATGGACCGTAGTTCCAAGGTCAGGAGTTGGACTGTCAGTCGCCAAAGGTGCCGAAGTGGTGTCCGTAGTAGGGTCAGGAAGGCCAGAATGACATAGTGCAGAAGCCTGGGCGTCTGGTACTTGAACTGGGTTGGTAGGAGCGAGTCCACGGGGGATTCGAAGGCCAAGCCAAGCCCGCCACGGTAGCGTGTCGTTTATGTTCCATGGGTGAAACGATCAGAAATGCGGGAGATGGTGCAACAAAGGCTGAGGCATCAAGAAATTGCGAATATAAGCCAAGCCAGAAAATGATAACAATAAGAATAATGATAGAAGTGAAGTCCAGTCCTCAATCAAGTGGTTCAATTGCCACGGAAAGGCCAAAGCTCAAAGTCTAACAAGGTGGAAATCAAAGAATCCTTTGTGTTGGTGAAGTGTCGAAGTAGAATCGAAAACCCTTCAGCATGGACTTTTTTGGCCAGTTAGCGTATCAGGGCAAGATCACACCGGGGCTAATTTTGTAGCATCGCAGACGTAGTACGAAAGGCTGTGAGGTACCCGGAATGAGCAAAGAGGATTCGTTGTAGTTGTACTGCTGGAGTCGCCATTCGGGTCGGTATTCCTCCAAAAGCTGCAAGATCGTCATATCATTGGAAACTTGAAATGTATCACCGTCCAGGTCGCAATAGCGAAACTCCAAATTCGAAGGGTCAATTTGGATGTCCCATTGGGACTTCAATCTTTTTGAGATGCAGAAGCGTAGTTCGCCAGTGGGAATGAGGCCGGCTTCAACTGGTTCCATCTGACGCGACCAGGTAAACAGAGCTTCAAGTTCGTAGCCACTAACATTCTTGAAATTGGAGCTAGCCAAAGCCATGTAGTGTTCACGGTCAGGTTCGCTGCGATGAGTCAATGCCTGTAAGGGAGAGTAGTCAATCAAAATCAGAACAGGTCGGTTTGGAGGAGGGTTCACGTGACCAGGTAGGCCTCGGGGTCCAGCAAGCCATCCAACATTTCGGGTGCCCAGTGGTGTCTCAACCGTGGATGTAGCGCGATATGGATGGGGCCGAGAAGAATGAGCTATGGCTTCGAATGTCGAGTGTCGAAGATAAAGCGGAAAGCCCAAGCTGCAACATAGGTTGATAATGACCAAAGAATAAAGCTCAAAAGTCTTGAAAAATGGAGGGAAACGGTGTACCTAGTGAGTAGTCACAAAACGACGGTAAGTCACTGTTCTTTTCCGATGCCGACAAATGATGTGGTGTATTACACACTGGAGTCCGACATATCCATCGGGCCCATATCGTTCGCATCCAGTGGACCATGTACTTGTTGAGAAGGGACGGTAGGGCGAGTGAGATGTAAAGTACGTTGCAATGTTGCCGGTGGTGAAGAAGGTGGTGTAGACCGCCATGGTGGCCAATATAAAGAGGTGGTGGTTCCTTGAGAGTGGTGTTGGGCAGAGCGTCCCCAGCATGACTGTAAAATATGGAGTTGGTCCGGTATCGCTTCGTACGGTTGGGAGACATAGACGTTGGAGTGTTCAGGGTGTGGTAGAACAGGAACAGCAGTTGCCGTAGGGGAGGAGGATGATTGAATTGGTACGTCATAGTATCGGCGCCAATGGTTAGCCGTGGTACGTAGGGTAGCCTGATCGTTGGTGAGGTGCATGTTCTCCAGAAATGTTTCCACTGGTTTCCACGTTTCAATACCATCAAGTGTCCTTTCCACGATCCAAAGTTCATCCGGACGGGTAGACAAGGGATAGCTCAGCTTCTTGATGAAGACGGAATGGACAGTTGTAGAGGTCGGGATCGTTCGCGCTGCACGGGGAATATACGATGCCGAAGTAGGATCATCAGGTGGCAGGTGTGGGACAAGGCCATGTACGGATGTAGGTGGGGAACGGTGTGAGACCAATCGAGCAGTATCATCCGTGTTGGAGGTCATCATGTACAATAGCAATAATATGATATCGAGATACACTGAACTGAAGCCAAAAAGCCGTGGGAAAGGTCAATAACGAACATCACAATATGGAAAGAAGAGAAGTAAGTGAGACAAAGGAAACCCAAAACCGAGGTGGCGGACATCATAACGAGTGTTTTTCCTTTTCCTCATAGACGTGAGCGTCGCCAAGATCTATCTCAAAGGCTAATCACTCGGCCGCTTTAGTGTATCTGGTGGCCGTGACGAATGGATGCCCGCGGGGAATCACTTGAACATGGACAGCGAAGCCTGTGTCCTGTGGATCTGGATGGGGTGTCAGCATCAAAGGTGAACACTCCCGAGTCGTGAAGGCATCGAGATGTTGATGAGTTTTCCATGTCGGGTAGAACCAGTTCAAAACGTCCAGGAGAGAATGAGGGAGGTCGTCCAGCATCTGAGCTCCTTGATCGGTGTCAATCATCATGTAGAAATCTGTCGCTGGTAGGTGTATCGACCATCGTTGTAACAGCGTGTCGGTAACCACGGTTTTGAGGTCTGAAACGAAATGACTGCGAGCATAGTCCGAGCATAGTCTATCACCTTGAACGTCTGGAACAGGCTATCATAGGTGGCCGTAGAGAGGTTGCCCGCGACCTTGGGGGTCAAGATGTTGTAGTAAGGGTTGCGGACGGCAAGTTGCTGCATCGGCTTCAGGTCCAATTGGAAAATAACCGGTCGATGGGGTGTCGTAGGCGGAGTCCGGTTGGGTGGGTGCTGCAGTGACGAAGACCCCATAGCGGAAGACGATGCCCTTGTTGGAGAGCGTGAGCGTCGTGTAGGTGAGATCCTCTCGTGGGACATAGCTCGCAGTTGGCAATAGCGGTCCAGGTGAATGCGGAGAGACATAATAAATGGCTAGCGGGTTGTATGATATGACATGTCAAATTTCAATGGAGCAACAGCGCCCGAGTTTGTGAAGATCAAAATTAGGAACGAAAATTCTCAAAAGACGAGCAAAACTGGGTGGTGACGCTATAATACAGTGCCGCAGGCTAACTTTTCTTTGGTTCGCATATGTCGTTGGTCAGCCAAGCTTGTCTTTGATCTTACTCCACATAGAGCGAACATCTTCCTCGGACTTGCCCATCTTGGTCGATATCACCCGCCATGAAAATCGAGACTTCTCGTCCGCCTTCAAAGTACGTAGTTTCTGTTTGTCTTCGGAAGTCCAGAGTGACAGTGGGCTCGAGGAGCGGGATCGGGATTGGTCAAGTCG